CCCTTACACCATGAACAAAAATTAACTTAAAATGGAATACAGCCATGGCTGAGTCCATTTTCTATCGCTTCAATAAAAAAAAAACCTGTGACTGAGTATCAAAGTCTAGCTGGCTCACAGTTCTGCAGACTGGGAATTCGAAGACCATGGAATGAGGATCTGATCTGCAAGTGACAAGGGCCTTCCCCGCTGCATTTTAGTATGGTGGAGGCATCACATGCTGAGCAAGCTTGCTGGCACGTCTCCCTCCCAAAGCCACTGAGGCCTTGATGGCATCCCCATCCTCGTGAACTCATTCAATTCTAATTACTCCCAAAGATTCCACTTATAAATACTATTAAAATATGAATTTGAGGGTTTCTCTATCATATGAACTTTGGGGGACATAGTCAAGCCTTAGAAGACCTAATCAGAGATGTGAAACTAAAAAATTCTTAGAAGAAATTGCAGGGGCAAATCTGCATGGCCTTAGTTTTGACAATGGTTTCTTAAATATGACACCGAAAGCATAAGGAACAAAAAATGAAAAGAAATAGGTACAATGACCTTCACTAAAATTAAAAACTTTTGTGTTACCGACTAAAAAGATAACCTACAGCATGGGAGAAAATACTTGAAGATCATATATCTGACAAGGGTTTAAAATATATAAGTAAAGTAAAATATGTAAGTAACTCTTACTACTCAATAAACTAGACAAATAACCCAATTTAGAAATAGGCAAATGACCTGAATAGACATTTCTCCAAAGGAGAAATAAAAATGATCATTAAGCACATAAAAAGATGTACACCACCATTGGTTATTTGGAATATGTAAATCAAAACTAAATGAGATACATACCATTTCATACCTACTAGAATGGCTAGAATTTTTAAGTGGAAAATAAGAAGTACTAGCGAGGAAGTGAAGAAATTGGGACACCTGAGAAGTGCTTGGAAACGTAAAATCTAACTGCTTTGGAAACCACTTGGCAGTTCCTCAAAAAGTTAAATGTACCATTAGCATATAATCTAGCAATTCTACTTCTAGGTATACACCCAAAAGGATTGGAAATAGGTAGTCAGAGAGATACTTGTGTTTTGGGGGGCTTTTTTGGCGGGGTCAGTACTGGAGCTTGAACTAAGGGCTTGTGCTTTCTAGACAAGTGCTCTACCACCTGACCCACACCCTCAGCCCTTCTGTATTTATTTCTCACTCACTGGAAGTGCACAGGCTGACCTGGACACCATCCTCCTATTTACACTTCCATCATAGCTGGAATGACAGGTGTGCCCCACTGCACTCAGCCTTTATTGAGATAGGGACTCATGAAATTTTGCCTGGACTGGCTTCCAAACACCATCCTCCTAATCTCTGCCTCCTAAATAGGTTAGGATTATAGGCATGAGCCATTGCACTTGGCCTCAAATAGATACTTGCATGGTGATATTCTAGTAGCATTATTCACACTAATCAGAAGTGGAAACAATCCAAATGTCCATCAGCTGGTGATGAATAAACATACATGTAGTTTATATGTGTTAGGATATTATGCAGCCATGAAAATTACTGTGGTTGTTATATATGCTACAACATGGACAGACTTGGAAATGAAAAAAATGACAAATACTGTATGATTCCACTTATATGAAATATCTAGAACAGGTAAATTCATAGAAACAGAAATTATATTGGAGGTTACCAGGGACTGGGGGGAGGGGAGAATGGAGAGTCATTGCTTAATGGGTCCAGAGTTTCTGTTCAAGGTGATGAAAAATTCTGGAAGTAGCATGATAGTTGCACAATATTGTAACTGCATAATTAGCAGGGTCACAATGGCATTTTTATATTGTATCTGTATTTTACCACAGGAAAAAAAGCCAGGTGCAGATGACAGTTGTTTAGTCAGCTCTCCACCACTATGACAAAATGTCTGAGATAAATCAACTTACAAAGAGGAAGGTTTAGGGCTGGCATAGTCGCTCAGATGGTAGAGTGCCTGCCTAGCAAGCATGACGCCCTGAGTTCAAACCCTGGTACCACCAAAAATAAATAAATAAGTAATCAAATCTTACAAAAAGAGGAAGTTCATTTTAGCTCACAGTTTTTGAGGTTTGGGTTCATAATTGATTGGTCCTATTACTTTTGGGCCAGTGGTGGCATAGCCTCCTCCCTCCCCAACCTAACTTCCTGTCACTAAACCCCACTTCTTAAAGGTTCCACCACCTCCCTATAGCACCACAACCTTTAACACATGGGCCTTTGGAGGACACCTATTCCAACCATAGTAACAGTACATAGCATACTCCCTTTGGTGTTTGTATTTGCATAAAAGACATTGAAAGAATATACAAGAAGCATATGCAAATTGATATTTATAGATAAAATTACTATTCAGCCCCTATACACTAGTAAAATTTACTGTTTAAAGTATAGAAATACTTAAATTCTTGTTAGTAAATAGTCAATCTCAATTCCTTGAATTCCCTCCACCTCTGCTTTCATCCCAGGATGCCTGAGTGTCCCATCATCCAGCAAGTGAAAATTTAACTGTGGCAGGGTCTGCCATTGAACAGTCTAGTGCAGAACGAGATTGGATGACCACAGGATGGATGAGATATTGTATACTGAGCCTTTTCATATTCTTTTGGCTTTTTGATCATGTAAACGTATACCTATTTACAACAATAAAATTTAAGATCTAGAATAAGGAATGAACTAGAGTACACCAGTTGAAAAATGCAGCTAAGAGAATTTGAGCGAAACAAATGTGTACAAGTTAAGCCATCATGGTATAAAAGAGCTCAGGGAATTGCAAATCTTGTAGAGAGGCCTGGATATGGAGTAGAGAGGACAAAAGAAGAGACTGCAAAGTAAACTTGGGCCACAGGTTAAGGAACCTCCATAGAGTATAATTGTTTGAACTATTTTTGTAACAGAGATAACCCAAGTAAAATTTTGTATTAAATTAACAGAATTATTTGAAAAGATTTATGTGTTAGAAAATGTATGGAGAATTGTGTGAAGATGGGAGAGAGTAGGAATAGGAAGGCAAGATGATGAGGAGAGCAGTAACAAGATGAAAATAAGTGATGGTCAGAAGATGCTGAGGGGAGCAAGCTAATGGCACTGCTGAAAAATAGCTCAGAAAAAAAACATTTTTTTTTAAAGGAAGAACAAAAGATGATGAAGATTTTTAGCTGGGTTGACTAAAAGGGTGGAACATGACCTTTAGTGAGGAAATCTAAATGGAAAATTATTCAGAATTTTGATTATGTAAAAAGTGAATACATTGAGAGGCCAAAGATAAAACATGACATAATGTGAGTTTAAAGTAAAAAAGTTATTATGCAAGTGGTAACTATTTTCCATTTATTTGGGAATTACTTACTTAGAGGAAATTTTACAGAGGAAAAAATTCATCTTTATACATAAATGAAGGTCTTAACTCAAAGAATAAAATTGTAATATGATAGACTCTTTTGTATGAATTTTTGCAAACAAATTTCTCTTTCACTAAAATAGCTTAGATGTTAGATGCAAAAATGACCTCCAGGTAATGTCGTTAATTTGAAGATTTCACATTTTTATAGAGAAAATAAATAATAAATATGATTCCTCAAGATGAATTGTAATTGTTTTCCCCATGTGTTTTCAAAATACCACAGTATTCATCAAGGAATGACATCATTTCCTCAGGATGGAAATTAGGGTGAACAATAGAAGTTTTATAAAATCTTCCTGATCAAGAGGCTTTCTTCCCTGTACATCTATCTCTAGCTTTACTTCTCTTCTTTCCCAGCCCTGCAAATAAACTTTCTAAGAACCAGTCTATATTCATACTAATTTCCTTACATTTATCCCTCAATCTACTGTCTACCCCATTTCTGTAAGTGAGACAGCTACTGCTAAGGTTAACAGTACACAACACTTTATTAAACAGTCTTTATGTTTCTTCTCTGTTGCACTATCATACTTAGACAACCCATCCTTCTTAAAATAGTCTCCTTCTTTGACTGCTATGCCATTACACACCTGGTTACCTTTATCCCTCCATGATATTTTTAAACCCTTTCACAAGCTTGTTATCTTTTTCCTAGTCATTAACTGTTGGCATTTCTTACCTGCTTCTGTTCTCACTCTATTGCCTTCAAGAGATCACTACTTCTATGGCTCTAATTCCAACTGTATGCCGGAAGTTTCTCCACCTTCTCCTTTTATTTCAAATCTTTAGATATCTCTTCTAGACTTCAAGTGCAAATATTCTAATGTGTCCTCAAACTCTCAATGTGTATGTCTCAAATACACCTTAAATTATTCACATCCAAACAACTGAACTCTTGATAACTCCCAATACACGTGGCCCTTATCTTGTTTTTGGTTGGTTGGTTTGTTAGTTGATTTTTGAAACAGGTCTCGCTATATAGCCCAGGGTGGGGTTGAACTCTTGATTCTTCTGTCTCATCCTCACAAATGCTGAGATTACAGGCCAAAGCCACCAGGACCAACTGGTGTGCCTATCTTAATGAAATTATCATTAATCCAGATGCACAAGTCAGAAATTTACAAACATTGCCAACATTTACCTTTTATTAAATCTCCATAGCAATTTCATCAACAAAAACAGTCAATTAGTACCTTCGAAGAACCTCTTGAATGGCTGTAGTTTTTTTCCCTGTCTTGTCAACACTTTAGTCCAAGCTACCAATATCTCTCTCCACTACTGTAAACGCTTTGTAGCTACTCCAACAACAATATTGTCTTCTGTAATCTGAAAAAAAAATTTTTATCAGATGGAAAGTTCTTAGTCCTTAGATCTGTGAAGGAAGTATAATAAAGTATTACATTAGTTTCCAAATTGCCTGTGGAAAGATGACAATTACTCAAATACACAAGAGGAACACCTGTGTCCATTACATATTATCATTAATAATCACCATCCCTTTTTGGTTAGGTAAGTGGCTTGAGAAGTGATACAGAAAAAGGTGAATGAGAAGCACTAATTCCATTTGCTACATCTACTTTGTATGTGACCTATCAAAACCAGAGTATTGGATCTGAGTTTTCTCATTAAGTCTTTTCCAGATTATTTTGGGATCATCTGAAAGCCTGGGCAGGCCCTGATGTGCTTCCCCCACACGGGTGAGAAAGTCTGTGGTATGGAGATGCTCATCTATTTTCTCTCGAAGTAGAAATGACTCCAGTAAAGTCTTCTTTTGCTTGAGGAAGGCCGATTGAGCCAGTTCTGCTCTTTTGCTATTACAGTGGGGGCACTGAGAAGAAATGTGTTGCTTAGCTGTTGCCATTTGTTTGAGTGTTGCTTTCGTGTTTTTAAAATAGATTCTATTCAAAAGTTCCTCAGGGACAGAATAATTTAAGGCATCTCCCTCTGAAGCCTCTGCATCCACCCTGAACTGTAGCTTTTTACGTCTGCTGCTTTTCTTCAACTTTGAGCCCGCTCTTTGATGGATCAAGTTCACCTTAACAGTGCAAAAAGACTGCAGGGCATTCAACTCTTCATCTGATAACGGAGTGGTTTCTGTTTGAATTTTACTGTCTGGTAGGTCCGGTCCAGAGTTAGTTCCTTTACCCTCAAGTTCGTTGATCCATTTTGTAATTAACTTATTTTCATTACTTTTGAAGTCTGAAAGCTCAGATTGCTCGTCTCCTTCTTCCGAGCTTGCAGTGGTCTTTTCACTCTGCACTTTGCTCTCGAAGTCATAGGAGCAGGACTGCTGTCCTCCAGAGGGACCGAGTGAACTGGAACTCGGCACCTCATCAGTTACGAGCTTCTCATCAGAAAGTTCAGTTACGAGCTTCTCATCAGAAAGTTGCGCCATAGTACTTACGCCCTTTGGGACCAGTTCTTGCTCGCGGGCTTTGGGCGGATGGTCATCGCAATGCCTCAGTTCCTCATCTGCTTTGCTCTGACCCAGCTGGGTCCAGGAACTAGGGAGGGACTTGCCAGCAGCGCACGAGCTGCGTCGGGCTCCTCATCCGGGTGACGCCCTCCTGCTGCCGTGGCAACGCAGGCCGGACATGCGCAGTGCGTGTCCGCGGCAGACGCCCCGCCCCTTCCTGCGCTCTCGGGCCCCGCCTCCTCGCGCCGCGCTCGCGGCGGCTGGACGCCACCGCCCTGACCTTGGCTGCATTGCTTTGTCTTAGCGGAGTTTTAAGCGCAGGCTCCCATAGTCCAAGCGAGGAAGTCTCAGGGTCAGACGGCGGCACACCGTCCAGGAGAGGTAGCTGGCCCGTGACGAATCGGAAAGTGCACATCGCCTAGTGAACCCAGATTTACCCACGAGCAACGTGCGGGTCAGTCGTACAGTCTGTGGCCGTGTCTCCACGTGGAAGTCAAAGCACTGACACCACTGCACAACACAGTGCTTATCCAGCCTTGTGACGATCTCATGCAGTTGTTCCAGATGTCATACAAGACTCGGCCACGTCCCTACCTCGCCTCACTCCACGTGATTAATTATGATTAATTTCTCATCCTGCCCAAGCCGGATTTCTGCGGGAAGGGAGCTCTGTCCAAACACCTTAGGCTTTCTTTTTGGTGGTACTGGGGTTTGAACTCACGGCCCAGCGATCGCCAGGCCGGCCCCGACCGCTGAGCCCCGCCCCCAGGCCCGGCCTTTCTTTTCCAGTTTCCAGCTGGGAGTTTGCGGTCTGGACTGCTGGCCATCTCGGGCCCACACTCAGCGGGCTACTGTGGCTGCGCAAGGCATCTCTGGGGAGCCAATGAGTTTAAGGACTGGAGACGGAAATAAATGTCACCTCACACAGGCCCAGTGGCTTTTGTGGAATTACCAGTAAAATCTCATTTTTATTCTCCCTGAACCTTCAAACTTAGTCTGTTACCCGTGAAGTATTACTTAGAGCAAGGTTTTTGAAAGTAACAACAAAAACATGGCAGTTTTGTTAAAATTCTCAGAAATTACAAGATGTCAATTGTGGAAATGAGCTTTTTCTAGGTCTTGATAAATCTCAGAGTATAGGTCATAGCCAATATCTGTGGTAATTTCAAGAGAATGGATCTCTCTGTGTCTCTTTCTCTGTCTCCTCTCTCTTGTTCTCTCACTAGCCTCCTTTCAATCCTTCCTCCCTCTGTCTTCCCCCTCCTCCCTTTCCCTCTCCTCTCTCTGTCTCTCTCCCTTTCTCCTTTCTTTAATATTATTTAGGTTGAGACAGATACATCTAATATTCCTCAAATACTCACTGCAGCAGTCATATGTCTGAAATACATAAAAAAAAATCATAGGCCTGATTCATATTCAATATAGGAACCAAATATAAACCACATTCATATTGAAGATAAGGAAATCCCAGCTTCCTTTATTTAGCTCAAATTTTGTTTTATTAAATAATACTAGTCTTTAAAAAGAAGGAGCAGATAATTATGGATAGTTCCATGTAATTTCCAACAGGACTCAATATTTTTATTTTTCTTTTAAAACTCCCTCATTTTCTCAAATATCTATACACATATTGAAATACAATTCACTGTAACATGATTTTCCCCATAATACTGAACAAAGGACTGGTCTTTGAGAGTATATTTATATCTTCTAATAAGCTAAATATCTGGAATAATCTTCCTATTGTTTTACTGTTTTAAATAGTGTTATAAATTTCTCTTACCTTTTAAAAACAACTAGAAGCCAGAAAAATTTGGATGGGAAATTGTACAATTTTTATAACAAGTAGCAAAACAGTAGTAGACTTTAACATTCTAATAACAGCGTTATCTAACAAAGAAAAATAGCTCAGCTATTATCATCAAATATTCATGAAGACAGAGGTCAAAGTATCATTTTAAACAGAGACTATTACTCTTTATATAAATCACATAGTCTTAACTTTTCACCTCCATCACAGAATTAAGTTTAAAGGCGACTCTACTTAAAATCTATATTCCTGTTGTTTCCTGTCTGTGAAATAAAGGTAGCATTTATCTACTGTCTTGCTAAAAAATGAGAATTATCAGTGATGTATATAAAAAGAAAAGCTCAGACCATTCTGTATGTAGTACTGGCAAAAACAAGTATTCTATATTACTTAAGAGATTTTTTTTTCTTTATTCATTTATTCATATGTGCATACATTATTTGGGCCATTTCATCCCCCCCCCACCTCCCTCTTAAGACAACTGTGAACAAGCACCAGGTTTCCTAGTAATTTTTTAAACAGGATGTTTCAAGTGAGAGAAAAAAAAATAGAAAAGCGTAAGAGGGCAAAGGGGTGGAGATTTGCAATTTCCTATCTTGTCTCAGAATCTTTTTATACAATACTAATGGATAAAAATCACTCCTTCTACTCACTATACAAAGAGCAGCTCTTATTCAGGTTCTCAGGGAAAAAAAACACAGTATGAAGTTTTTAACACTTTATTTCTTTTTTGAGGAAAAGAAAAATCAAGGAATTAACAAAAAGGAAATCTAGTATCTCAATTTTGTTACAGAATTATTTATTCTGGACTTAGCAAATATCTATGAACTTTGTGACAGTTTCTGCAAAATTATCCAACCAACATTTAAATGTGTAAAGAAAATGCTGTATTTCTATTCCTTCACTAATGTAATCTTCCTTACAAAGTCTCACCCATTTGGGCAGCTCTACAAAACTCATTAACTTGATATCCCATTACTGTGTAAGTTGGTCTTGTTTTGGCAAATGTTCTGTCACTGCTAAATTTAACTCTGTAAGGAAGGAATTCCTTTCTTCCCTCTTCACTCCAAAATGATGCGTTGGTAGAAGGGAAACTTTATTGTATTTAGGGTATTTGTTATATGGGGTTCCCTAAATTTGTGTACTATTCCTATCATTATGTTCCCTATCATTATGAGATAATAATTATTTTGAAGTTATTTTATTCATCTTTTAAATTTTCTTTTTGAAAATAGGTATCAATATACATATGGATCCTTCTTTCATAAACAAATTTAACATAACTACGTTACAGATTACTGTGTACTTTTAAATTATTTTTCTTAAAAATATATCCTGGATATATTTCTCACCTTATTTGTGGATTTATTACATGTGATTTTGACCAAGTACAGTCAAAAATAATAATAAATCGAGAAATTTCAAAACCAAAATTTTTTAATTCCCATACAGACATTAGACAGCTCAACTGATATGGAGAAGCTTAGTCAATTGTGTTTAAATTATTGTGTGACCTGCTGAGTGTGTCCCTGTCCTTAACTTTGTGAAAATCTGTCTTCCAAAAAGCAAATGATGCCCCAAATGCAAGTTAAAAGTGAATCTACTGACGCGATCAAATGAACATTTGAGATTTATTGCAAGGAGGCATGTCTTTAGAGGAAGTTGGGTAGGAATATGGGAAAAATGAAACAAGCATCTGCAGTAGTTGAGATTTTTATCTCATGCTTTTTTAGCATGAAATAAGATCCGTTTTTGGTGAGCAGTATTAATGTATACATCAGTAATTTTGTGACACTAGTGAAGCCTACTCCATAGGGTTTAAAAAGATGGATACTCAGACCTACTACTAATAGTTACTAATAGTTTAGATTAGTGATTAATAACTATTAGTAACTTCAGAATGCTGAATTCAATGCATTCTGAAGTTACTAATAGTTTAGATTGTTAGGTTTTTTATTTTCTAAGTCATCTGACTATTTAAATTAACTTGTTTCTATTGGTGTGCAGTTTTATGAATTTTAACATGCATAACCAGATGTAGATTCATAGAAGCACTATCAAAATCAGGAAACTCAATGCCCTATTCTAAGTCAATTGCTGGCACACTCTCAAGCTGTCCTTAATGCCTATCTGTAGTAGTTTTTTTCTTGATTTTTCCCCCCTGTGGTTTTTCAGATGTAATATCACATTGTCTACAAGTTAAGATAGCCACTTCCTTTGTAATTCTGAAAGTGTCTCATGTTTGTTCTGGAGATTAAACTCAGGGCCCTGTACTCACTGAGCATTTGTAATGCTCTGCCACTGAGCTACATTCTCAACCTCCCTTTCTAACTCTTATAGCTCTAATTGTTTGTCTTATCTAATTTCTTTGGCTAATATCTCCAATACAATGTGAACTAGTAATGGAGTTAGTGACCTTACCTATTTTTAAAGTTGAATGTTGTCTCTTTCTTACAGTTTAGAGCTGTTTTGAACTTAGGAAAACAAGAAATGATTTTGAGCTACATTATATAAAATTGCCCTATACAATATCATTAAAAAGCTCTGCTAAATAACTAATAGATTCATAGATAGGTGATAGACAGATAAATGATAGATAGATGATTGATAGGATGAATATTGAAGAATTCAGAAATTAATAGAGAAAAGGCTCTCCAATTAAATAAATGATCCATCTATATTCTTTCAATATTGTTGTAGCACCATTCACTTTGCCCAGGTTTACATTTTTAAAAAGTAAGTTTTAATAAAATGAAACCCTGAAAATGTGGGTTTTCATTTTTAAGCAATTTCTAAATATGTAGATATTTGTCTACATTTTTCTAAATAATTATAGACAAATTGATTTTTAAATAACTACTATAATATAGACCCTCAACTCAAAATTTGAGCCTATGTATTCCAGAACTCTCAATTTTAACCAACATATTTTTTAGAAATAAGGAAAATGAGTATAATTTCAGTTCCTCTTTTTTGAATGGCATTATCACTGAAGTCTGGAACTGGCCTGGTTGGTGCTTTGTGAGGGCTGTCAGGAAAGGTTCTGTTCCAAGTCTTTCTTCTTTCATTGTAGATGACTATCTTTATGAATACATGGTGTTCTCCTGCTATGCATGACTCTTTGTACAAATTCCCTTTCTTATAAGAACATTAGCCATATTAGATTAAG